TTGTCACCGGGGTATGGTCTAGTCAGTGGAGTTTGCACGAAGTGTCCAGTTGGGTATTTTGGAGTTGGTGGAATTTTGACATGTCAGAAGTGTGGAGTTGGAAACATTTCGTCTTCTGAAGGATCAACTTCATGTACGCCATGTGGAGATGCGACTGTCCCAAATAAAGACCAAACTCAATGTGAAAGATGTTCAAGTGGTTTCTTTATTAACAGCGCAAAGACATGTGAAGAATGTGGTGCCAATTACATTTCTGATGGTGAAGAATGTTCACAATGCGAAGAAGGAGAAGAACCCAATGAAAGTCGAAACGACTGTGTTGAATGTAAATCGGGATTTTATAATTCACAAGAAGGGGGCGTTTGCGTCGAGTGTCAGAGTGGGACGTTCTCTTCATCAGAAGGATCAACTTCATGTCAAAAATGTTCAAATATATGTAAAACGTGTGACTCGAAAAGTGGTGTATGTTTGTCGTGTTACGCTGGAAGTAAATTAAGTGAAGGTACATGCATAGAATGTCCCGCGGGGACTTATCAAAGTGTTGATTTCAGTAGTTGTACAAACTGTGCAAACAATACCTATTCATATTCAAATTCAACGACGTGTGAAAGATGTACAACTTGTACAGAGTGTGACTCTACAACTGGGTATTGTACAAAATGTCCCAATGGATATCAACTCAATTCAAACACAAAGAAATGTGATTCATGTTTAGTCGGGTATTATTCCAACCAAACTACAAATATGAAGTGTACTAAATGTCCCATTGGATCATTTTCATCATCAAATGCTTCACTAAGTTGTACAGAATGTGAAAGTGGAAGTTATGCAAATACAGAAGCATCAAACAAGTGTACAAAGTGTTCACAATTATGTCCATTCTGTAGTGCACAACGGGGAATGTCTAATTGTTCAGTGGGTACGACTTGTCATGTGTCTGTGGAAGTGCAAGCTGGTATATATGCAATCCGACTCTGCTGTCAATGTGTGAAGTGGTATA